ATCAAGTACAAAAAACTTCATTTGCCAATATTTGAATAGGTGCACAAGATTATTGCTGAAAGATTGATACTTACTGACCAAGCGGGTAGTTGTAGTTCCAATCAATTTTGTCAAATGTTTCTACAAATACAAACTAAGTAGAGAAAAGTATCTTCTGTATAATTCAGTGTCCATATAGAAGTATTTGTTTCGAAAGAATTTTTTTCTCTCGTGTAATTCAATGTTTATATGAAAGTAGCTGTTCCAGGAGAACTTTCTTTCAGTTTGTGTCTGAAAGTTACTTCTTTGCATGATCCATGTATAGAGTTACTTATTTTCAAATTGATTACTTCCTTCCTTTCTCTGGAAGATTCCCTCATCCTTTTTTTGTATCAAGATGGAGTAGTAGAAAGCCAAAAACTTTCTTTCCCAAAAGAGTATTTTCCATTCCACAGGTCTTTATATTCGAAAGGATTCAGAATATTTTGGGATGTTCATGATTGTTGTGGAATATTCGGAAATAGTCCCTGTAGTTGTATATTGTGATAGCTAGCTCTTCATCCCTCATCTATGAAGATGTCCGTTTTCACGTGGAAAGCGTGATTTTGATTATATCGAAGAATGAAGCTATGCCCTCTAGGAAGCTCTGGAAGAGTCCAAAAATGTGCAAGAGCGTTTCATAACACTTCACAGCATTCAACGACATTCCAGAATAGTCTGGAATTGTAAACATTCCAGAAATATGAGTATATGAGTATGAACCAAATACTCCATCTTTCAACCCGTGCAGGGCTTTTTCGCTTTGTGAATCATCATTTGATCGCAAACGTATGCTAACCTGTTCATGGGGGGTTTGTTCCTCCACCTGTTCCCCCACCTCAAGAAATTGGTGCAAGGTGGTTTCATAAGGTACCCCGCTCTTGAGGAGACTACTCAGTCGTTTCCTGGCTACACCACCACACCTTTTTTTAGGTTCAGCTATTGGATCAAGAGTTGGAGAGTTGAGAAGCTCTCGTTCCTGATCTAAATTTACAGGGAGGTCCGTTGGAGTCGTAAGCTTGACATCCATCTCCTCTGTAGACTCGGCGTCAGAAAGAATTTATGAGTTAACTCCACTCATAAAAGTCCCACTAGTAGCTAAGGAAAGAAGGTCAGTCACGGCAGAGCTCCGCATTACCGTGACAAGGCGATGCTACGACGAGACGGCGCCCGGTATCTCGAAGGTTCCGTAGTGACAGCTGATAGGCTCAGTGTCATTCATGCTCTCGGCATGGATACACACCTTAGGATTAAGCCATCGTTGGGATGCCATTCAGTTAGGGAATAATAGAACCATGATTGACATGCTTGTGCCAAGACATATTGGTGTCTATTTTAACTTCCAACAAACTTATCGAAGGAGAAAACGGAATTATCTGTCCTGACATTATTATATCCGGTTTGGTGACATTCCTGGTTGAACCTGGTGCTCTAGATCCCCTTCAGCTATGCACTCTCGGGCTCTCGGTGAAGATGTATATCTGCAGCTGATGTCCTGGAATCCAAATGAAATGAAGAGACAAGTTTACTGTTATCAGCAGAGCAATATGTTGAATTCTTGATGTACAATATTATGAAGCAACCTAGACTACAGACCTTCATAATAATGTTGAGAATAGCTAGACTGCAGCAGGAAAGAACTACGTTGTTCAACGTTGTCTAATAGGTCTGAATTATCGTATGAAGATATTTGGAGTCTTGGAGGTCTTCGTTTTCAATATTTACAGACTTTAACTCTCCCCATTTGATCTAAATAATAATAATTAATCACCAAATGAACTTATTGGCTTCGTTAAAAAGCTGGACTTTGAATTGATGTGATTCAGAGTGAATCCATGCTGATTTCTGTAGAGCCACTCGCTTGAAATATATTTATGAAGAATGAGTGTCAAAGACCTCTCAACTCTCAGATGAATACGAGAACATTCACAGATTACTTGTGATGATAATTGATGCTGGTGATTAATAGTGTTTTTCATTATGTCTCCCCCTTTCCTTATTCTCTCTCTCTCTCTCTATCTGTCTCGCTATCTATGTAGGCCTCACCGTTCAATATTGCTGGTCTTCGTAGTTGGATCAACATAATGTCATTTTTTAAGTCACTTGGAGAATATTTGTAGTGCTTGATAAAATTTCCTACCCGTATGTCTTGGGGAGGGGGTGCACATCCTTTGAAATCACAGTTTTGTGTTCTATCCTCAGAATTTTCTCCAAGTCTAACCCTGAAATTGAATCAGAAAGTTTAGGACTCACACTAGATTTCAATTTATCGTTCATTTTTATTCCACGCTTTTTATATTAGCTTCCCCTTTATGTATGTTTGTTTGTAAGTCTCCTTTTCATTTCATATCGGGAAGTGTATTTGACAGAATTATTGACATTATTGCTTGATCTATTCGCGGGCAGATGGCGCTGTACGTAACTTTATTGATATACCGAAATTATTGCTTGATATATTCGCTGGCAGATGGTGCTGTGAGTAACCTCCTTGATATAATTTGAAGTCACTTTACATGCATTTCTTCATTCGAAAAACTTTTTTTTTTCATCAACATGCGCGCCTGCTTCCTTATTTGTAACCCTCCTTTGTGCGCCCGCTGTCTTCGATGTTCTTCAAAAGCGTGCTTTTTAAGTTTTTTAAACTATACTCAATTCAGTTGAATTCATTGTGATTTCAGAGAAGAAAATGTCGAATTGAATATATTCCAAATAAATCTTAGTAGAGAGGTTTTTTACAAAAATTTTGGTACAATAATTGATTAATAGTTTTTTAAAATCATTTCCAATTGGTTCTAAACTGCATCTCGATGTAATGACGTTTGACAGCTCCTCTTGATGAACTATTCATGGATGGTGCTTTTGAACATGCTACCTACTTATTTTGGCGAAATAACTAAACTATTTCTTGGTAAACTCTTTCGAAAAACAGCGATATAATATTATTGCAGTAGAAATTCCAGCATTCAAAAATGAATCACACTGTATGAATTCAGTGTTAGGAATCACACGTTGAAAGGTAAGACCCGTTAATCCTTAGCTCGCACAAGTTTCGACTTCTGAGGGTTGTCGTTCGTAGGGGTGCGACAGCTGGTTAACGGAAAAACAGATTTTAAACAGATTTTAAACAGACAGTCACCTCATCATTCCGATACCTATCAATCTTTTGATATTTTTCACATTCAAAATCAATAAATGTCCACAAAGTGTATATTTTTTTCAGGATGAAAATATAATTTTCAGTTTTATTGTTGGAGTGTGTGTCATCTTTCATGTCAAGGTTGATATTTATAGTGCCAGATCCATAATTCGGTGCCAAGAGCACCAGCAATTTGCGGTCTAGGTTTTTATGTTATTTCTGAAAACGAGATGGATATTTTTATCGTATTCTCAGCGTGATGAAAAATTCAGAGTGAGAGAATTGATGAAGTGCTAGTTTAATAACGAGGAAAGGGGAAATTCTTCCAGTTAGTAATCAAAAGATGATATTAAAATTCGAGAAACAAGCACAAATGGTTTGTTAGCCTGTTTTCCACATCTTTTTTTGACAAACTGTAAAATAATATCAACGATTTATAAAATTCAATATTTCTAACCTTTTGAATATTGCTTAATATACTGGGAAAGAAAACAAAATAGTTTGGTGACTGTATCAAAGAGAGATGATGATAATTATAACGTTAGTCCCTGTTGTAAGACCTTATATAACAGTTGTGTTTCTTTGATCATCTAATAATTCGATATTTTCAAATCCACTTTTTCAATCAAGTGACATGTTGTGCCCTAAAATGAAATTCATTTTCATGTCAAATATATTCAGTAGTAAATTCTACCTTCGGAAAAGTATAAAACATGAAACATCGCGTATTGAAGTACCAATTTTCTAATTCTACGAACATCACCACGAACATATCTCAGTTTCCCACATTTTTCGAGTGATTCCCGTACCGCAATGTCGGCCGTATGTTTATCTTCATAACGAAAATAACTCTGCTGAAATACGATAATGGCTTCCATCCTCCGGGTATCTGGCTGCTGAAGATTTTCTTATATATTTTTCCTGCAATTTACACTACGGGCCCTATCTCGTATTGCTTTGTTGGCCTACGTTCTCTGATGCCGCGCCATTCAGGCGTACCCAGATAGATATCAATACCCGGCTATGATGTTATTTTCTAGATACACGTATCATGCGGTGTTTTTTCGTATTACTCTGCGGTATGGAGATCTTTACGAATCATCGTAAGTTATCAGATGTCTTTCGGAAATCACTCTTTCGAATGAAAGTGTGTAAATATGTTTTCAATCAGTTTCAGTTTGTTTGGTATTACTGTGGAGTTATTAGATTGTTCCAAAATATTTGTTCGACTACTTCAAACTGTAATATCTCATTGAATAATTATTCAATTCAAACGAAACCAGCTCCATTTCAATCAGTGAACTTTTGCCAACTCAATTCAAGTCGATTGATCCCATCAACATGGAAATTGGGTGCTCGAGGGTCGATGGGGTCGACGAGGGCCGTTTTGGCCTAGTCCTGATTGGCGAAAGTTCTATCGGTGATAAAGTTTTCGAAGTGCTTAAAAGATGGTAGTCGTTTGGTGAAAGATATAGAGAGTATAGTGAGTGAAACAGAACGACGATACTCAATTATAAAAGATGACCATTACGTNATTACTTCTATAGGTAGATTCGTTCTCTCTTTCAGGTTCCCGTCTTCGGATAGCTTTCTCTGTAAGATTTGGAGTGCTTCTTCGACCGGAACGTTGGTGTAAATGCTTTCCACGTCGAAACTAATTAGTTGATCTTCCTGTGTGACCTCAATTGACCCTAGTAATTCGACAAAATGCTTTGAATTCTTCACAGAAGACGATGTTTTTCCTTGTAATGGTTGTATTAAGGGAAGTAAAAATCTAGACAAGTTTTGAGTAGCCGAATCTCTGGAGCTGATGCTCGGTCTAAGCGGAACGTCCTTCTTGTGGATTTTGGGTAGTCCATACAAGTGAGGGGGCTTACTGTGGTGCGGTGTTAGCGAATATCTTTCCTTGTCCGAAAAATAGACTTTGTGTTTTTTCAAAATCTGGTACAACTTTCTTTCGATTGATGCAGTAGTAGTAGTAGTATAGTAGACAAGATAGTACGTTATAACCACCATTTTTTTATCTAGTTTGAATAACCATCTTCCTTCAAATCATCCGTGAACTGATTCCACATGATTGAAATTCGTGAAATTCCAGAGTTCCCATCAATCATTATACCGTCCCTATTTTTCAATCAGCAGTGTGCTCTATACGACAAATCAAAAAGTGCATATAAATTTACTTTACACCGTCAACATATATCTGGCCCCTTTCCAGTGCTGCATCTTTCATTCCTTGCCAAACTACAAATGAAACAAACATTCGTTTATGACGTCTATTCAGACAGCTCGTTCAACCCTGGCCATATTCCATTGTGCTCTTTTGATTCTTTATCAGGGCGTAACAATATCGAAACTATTGTCTGTTGGAAATTATATCAATGTAAGTCTACAATGGATTTCATCTTCAGGAACTTTTTGAATGTTTATTCAACTCATGAGTCTTTCTCTGTCTCTGTAACAGTCAAAGACAAAATGAGTGAGGATTCCGCAATTATCGTCCATTATATTTCTGTTGTTTGGGACTATCTTTGTGTCAAGTTCAACATTGATAACCAAACTGAATGTTTTCAAGATTTTCATTGGGAAATGATAGGTTTTGTTGTGTGTGCTGATGGGTAGCTGTTGTGTGTTGTGGGTAGCTAATGATCCAATGCTCAGTAAAGCAAAATAATGGATTTGTGGTCGTTGATAATAGAGTTGAGGCTGTCATGAAGGAATTGTTCTGTATGTCCACTAACTATATGTGGACAGTTCTTCAATAATAATAATACTAATGATTTGATACAATTTCGCATGAGCTCATCTTGCCTCTGCTCAGATGCCTTGCGGTACCCGACAACATAGTGAGATGCATTGAACAACTGATACCACTTTGGCGAACTCGCTTCACCATAACATCTGGTCAAGCAAGAGTCCAAAC